CAAGTTACAAGTTAGACGTAAACAGAGCATTTTGCACAGGGAATTAAACAGTTGGCGCCGACCCATGTTTGAATTAATTACCTTCGGCGTGAAAAAAAATTTAAAAAACCATGTTACTTGTATTTTATTACGGAATATTTTATTTAGGAGGGGTTTCTGACTTTCTTCCCAATCTTCTGGAAAAACGAGAAGTATATACGCGTAGCAAATTAAGAGAAGCATTCATTTGCAGGAAACTAAAATTCTCTCATAAATGAAAATTGATGCGGCGGTCTAATAAACAGAAAGAAAGAGACATTTTCGGCCACCTGGATGACTGGATTTCGATTTTATGCCGTTCTGATATTTATTTAAATAAATAAAACCCATTTTCATTTTAACTTGAATTTTACATTCCGCAACGGAATTCAGGGTTCTGATCTTTAAATTTTTTCGTATTTCTCATTATTTTACTCACGTGAACACATGCAAAGAAACCCAAAGAAGGTTTCTTCTTTCTCCGGACTCTCGAAAATCTCTGTTCCACTTCATCGTACAGAATATTCTTTCTTTCGTGTGTCTTGAGTTTGATAATCTCTTCTCCAATCTGCTGACACGTAAGTAAAAGGTGATCTGTTTTCCAATTTTCACCCAGTTTCTTTAAAAAAAACAATTTTTCATAAGAAAGAACGCATTTTTACAATGCAGGGTTGGGTTTGATTCGAGGAGCTCGATATTCCCATTTCATAAAATCCCACTCTTTGAATGGGGGGATTTTCTGACAATGTACGTGGACTGCTTTTAGCTCTGTCGTCTAGCATTTTTATTGGATCGAGCTTCATCATTAAGAAAAAGGGTCTTATGAGGGCTGGTGCCACTGGAAAACGCGCTGGTTTGTTCTTCTTCTTCACATCTCTTTCTGGATTTCTTCAATTATGCATTTCCTCGGGCCATTTATTAGTGGCTAGGTTTTCAATTTTTCAAATTTCTGCTGTGATTGTTCAAATAGAAGTCAATGTCTTTAGTATTTCATCAGGTTCCGGAGGCCACTCTTACTTGCTTGAACCTTGGTGGTGGGCTGGGATGATAACCAGTAAGGTCATTTTTTTACAAGTATATACTTCAATATTTGTTCTTAATTTACAAAAAAAGGATTTTTTGGGGCGTGTACTGTGTAGTGATAATAGGTGAGGGTGCAAATTTTGCTGCGTATGCATATGCTCCAGCCATTCTTGTGACTCCATTGGGAGCTTTAAGTATCATCTTCAGGTCAGTCAGATGATAGTGTCCCTACAATTTTGAACTATGATAAAAGCTGTTTTCCAGTTCAATTAAAGAAGAAGAATATTAAAATGTGTCATGATTTAACATTTACGCAGTGCAGTGCTAGCCCATTTCATATTGGGTGAAAGATTACATATGTTTGGTGTGGTTGGGTGTATCCTCTGCTTGGTGGGGTCAGTTAGTATAGTTTTGCATGCTCCCTTAGAAAAGAAAATCGACTCTGTCAAGGAGGTTTGGAACCAAGCAACTCAGCCAGGTAGGCATATTGCATCACTTCTTGAAACTCTTTCAGTTACAATGGCCTTCAAGGGCTGGTCTGGATAGAGGGTTTTGGAGGGGAAGGTTTCAGAAGGCTCTTTTTATCTTCTAATGAACAGAATGTTTTTCAAAACTTCCCCTCCGAAACCATTCTAAACCCTCCATTCAAATAGACCCTAAATGGGGTATAAAGTACTAGGAGAGCAAAATAAATACAAGAATGATAGAATTATACTTATATGTTAAAGAATAGTTTTCAAGGAAATGATTTATAGGTGTGAAGGTTTGTTTTCTGTCATGAAAGGCCTACTTATAACATTCATGACATCTCCTCCTCTATGAGGTGGGCAAAGGTGGTTACACTTTGAGAGGTGTATTTGACCCTCTACATTTGCCACATTAGCACTACAATGGAAAGCTAGTGCCACCTGAGAATGCTTAACCAGTTGACAAAAAGAGGACCCGCTAACTGGAGGACTTGTACCTATCTTTAATGGTTTGGGTGATTAATTGGATCCTACTTTAGTTCAGGGGCACAATTGTACATTTCAGTAAAGAAAATAGCCACATTTGACCACTTTTTTCCTCAAAATAATAAACAACATAAAAATGTTGTTGCGCACATCGCCAGGTTTGTGAAGCTTTCTCACGGCCTTACCACACCTTGTGCCTTTGAGAAATTTATATTCTGAACTCTTTTTCACCTTTATATCTGTCATGGATGGATACTGACAAATGCTAGAGAAAGAAAACTAAATGCTAAGAAAAAACATGTTCTTATGTTTGGATTTACCATGATAATGCATTGGAAAATCAATATGATTACCATTTTTTCAAATTTCTACATCTGTTTCGATTGTTTAGCATTTATATGACAGTAAAAAGAAATTTGAACCAATATTGAAGAATAATTAATTGAGTTTGAAACAATCTTTTACTTTCCTCAATGTTTTATTTCCTGTCAATTTTCTCTTATATTTTTCTCTCTGTTTTCTTTCCCAGCATTTTCCGCATCCCAAACAGACCCTAATAGTTGCATGGAAAGTTTAATGAGCCAAAGTAGAGAGGCTAAGGGAAACATCTAGATATTTTATATATGTCCATACCTTACAGTGTAGTAGTTTAAGATACAGTTTCTTCTTCTTTGCTATCCTCTTGTTTATTTATATATTTCCAATCCTTTGATATGTGCAGGATTTATAATCTACACTGTCATGGTTATAGTTCTGGTTGTGGTGCTAGTTTTTCGCTATGTGCCACGCTATGGACAAACACATATGGTTGTCTACATTGGAATCTGTTCCCTCACTGGCTCACTAACGGTTCGTTCCCTCCCCTAATTATAAGAAAACCAAAATAGATTGGGTTGTTCCTCTTTGTGTATGCCCTTATGATTGCCTATTATCTATTAATTTTCTACCATTTTGTTGGTGGTGCAGGTTATGTGTGTGAAAGCGGTTGGGACGGCTCTGAAGCTCTCATTTGAAGGAATGAATCAATTTAAATACTTCCAGACATGGTTCTTCACTATATGTGTCATCATGTGTTGCCTTCTTCAGCTAAACTATCTGAACAAGGTATTTCTGAGATCAGTTTGAGGATTCTTTCACTGTCGTCATGCACTTTGGTGACTAAGGTTTTGATTTTTAACTTGGAACCCATTTGGTGAGCTTTATGTGAGTAAAAGTTGCTGAATTTTGTGAAATAAAAAGCATTTGATGACATCCATTCCGACCGCATAAGTTAAAAATCACTTAGTTTGATGAGTAGAATAAGCAAAATATGCCATATAAGGCTACCAAACAGAGTCTAGAGCCCGTTCGGTGATAGCTGCAATGGATGCTTTGAGTGAATGTGCTGAACTGATTGACTCCACAGTGTTTGGTGGGTTTTTAGGGTAAAAATGGTCAATTGCATGCATACTTTGCAAGGGCAAGTAGTATTTTTTCGCATGTGGCAAAACAAGAAAAGGAAGACAAAATTTTCATTTCATTGTAAAAATAAGAGCCAGCCTAAAAAGTATCTCAAAATCCAAACCAGTCAGATGTTGGGGTGTTTGGTCCTTTTTCCAGTCTTCTAAGGCGGCGAAGCTCATATGGGCTTACCAAACGTGCTCTTAGTTTCTTGTCAACTGGTGCTTGATGTCCACAATAACGATACTACTATAACTTTAATAATATGATGATAATAATAATAACTACAAAAAACTAATGGTGGTGGTGTGATGTATGTATAGGCGCTGGACACATTCAACACAGCAGTGGTGTCGCCAGTGTACTATGTCATGTTCACAACACTCACGATTGTAGCTAGCGTCATCATGTTCAAGGTACTGATGAAGAGTGATGAGTGATGCATGATGATGATATCGCATACCAAACTCTCCCCTTCCCCCATCTTACACTCATGATATTCATTATTTCTTTCTTTTTTTAGAGCATTTGCCCTTTCTGGTGACATGACTTTGTTTTGGTTGGCAATTCTTTAGGAGTGGGATCACAATGATGTTACACAGATAATTACAGAGCTGTGTGGGTTCATGACCATCCTCTCAGGCACCTTTCTCTTGCACAAGACTAAAGACATGGGTGGTGCTGGTGGTGGTACCACCTACCCCCCTATGGCAATGCCAATGGCATCCGCTACGGTCACCACCAATGCTGACCAGAACCGCCAGGATGGTAACAACATTGGAAGAAGCGAAGAACCCGAGGAGGTTTGAATGAGCGGTTAATTTTGTTTGGTTACTAACAAAATCATTGCTTGGGATGTAAGCCCCCCAATCTATTGTGGTGCATCGGTTGTTCCTCTGTTCTGATTTTGTCTCGGAAAACAAGCATCACACCGTATTATGATATCAAATTACTGGCATTTTAGATCCGGTGAATAGTTAGCAAGTATTATAAATATAATGATCTATGCTAGTTGATCACAATAACAATTTATAATTAAAGATGGTAAAGTCACTTCCACAAGAAAAAGGTAATGTTTATTTTTGAATCTATGTCGACATGACGTACTTAAGAATGCTTATCATACATTCATACTGTGTTTGGACTTCATTATTTTTGTCTAAAAATAGACACATTTGACAACTAAATCACTGATTAGAAATATAATTAGTATTCCTTCCAAAAAAAGAATATAATTTCTAAAACATAAACAAAAATCAAAAGTTTAAAAAATTATATGTTCATGTTCTTCAATTCCAACTATTCAAATCCACCAGTTATTAGAAATATAAATTGTAAAACATAAAAAAAAGTTTCAGTAATACGGAGTAATATGTTCACGTTCTTCAATTCCAACCATTCAATTTCACCAGTAATATTTGCTTCTATATTTTCATTGTACATTCAAAAAGTACTTATATTTCATGTAAGATACTTCATAAATATATAGAAGTATCTTACTCCGTATGTTTTAGAGAAATGGTGTATCGATGTCCATGCAGCATAGCTACCTAATTAACATTTTACTTTGGCTAATGAGTAATGAGTATCATAAATAGCTGGTACGCACGAACCATCAATTTCATGGACATGAAATTTTTCCAAGCAAAACTTGATTTGTGGTAGCCTTTTAGATGATTACAACAAATATAGATAACAACATAACGGAACTCAAGACGTAGTATGAAATTGGCTTTCTCAAAAAAAAAAAAAAAAGGATGCCACATTGGCTTTAGGAAGCCTAGCAGGATACTCTTTCACTGTTTGGGTTCTACAAAATGTCAAAATGCCCATAGAAAAACATAATTAACTACTCATTTTATTGTCACCAATAGAAACAAAACCCCTAACATGGAGGGGACAAAGACTCTTGCTACAAGAGAGGAACAGGAAAATCAAAGCCAATCCCCTAAATCATCATAATTAGAAAGGTTAGACCAATATACCCTCCATGCACTCCACATACTCCTCTACATCAACCTGAAGAACAATTGAAGAGCAACTTGTATCAATAACCGGAACCAAAGAGAAAATAAAGCTTCAGTTGGCAGCATAATATGGCAAAATAAGTGGATTTCACTTGCTTATTTGGCCGAATGATTGATACCATACCTTTTCTTTTCTTTCGTTCCATAGATTCAACCATTTCAGCCAAATAAAACTTATAAAGAACACACTCTAACTTCCAAAAAGTGCAGAGGGCTTACTAAATTAGAGGGTGAGTAACGCCAAGGGCAGGGGATAGATCAAGCTTACACTTTGGAATCTTGTCATGTTAATAAGATGTCGGAAGGTAGACCCTGAAAGTGTCTTTTCCGGCTTTGAGATTCCGTCTACAGGTGGGGCATTTCCCTTGGGCAGCTATTGCAGCAACTATACATTTCTTACAGAAAATATGTCCACATTTGGTTGACGTCTCTTCCACCAGCTGTGCCATACAAACTGGACAACTTAAGGCAGGCGGTGCTGGCGGTTGAGCTGCTGCCTGCTGGTGGAACACCTTTTTAGGCTGCTTAATATAATCCTTGCTCTGCCATTTCAAAATTTGCACACGACACTTTATATCACCATAGGACACCATATAAATGATTTCACACAATCAGATTCTATAGTATAACAAAACCTAAGACCTTATTAATTACTCTCAACGTGTGTGTATGACTTCAGTGCCGTCATGCCGATTCGGCACTGGAGCCTTTTCCTGTGTGTGTGTCTGTATTCTGTATTTCTTCTAGCTATGTCCGTTCATGATCAACTTTCTCAGGTTGTATTGTATATAGAAAATTGAAGGAGCCACACCATAGAGATTTAATTCTGAATGAAGTTATAATCCTTCACTCCTATCAGGCAGTACTGTATATCATAACATTTATATATTCTTTTGGGGGAAAGAACTTTCAATTAAAAAGAGTAGAATTTCTATGATGAGTTTTTATGATTAAATACCAGACACAAGCTGAGAAATGGAATTTCTAATTCAATAAATGTTATATGGGGTTCGGTATTTTCCGGTGTATAAAAAATATGGGGTTCGGCGATGCACTTCACTAGTTTAGTACGGAGTACTTTTTATGATTTGAAGTGCTCATTGTCATGTTCCATACTTCCATGATGTGCATGTTGTTTCAGAATATAATCCCATCCATTTTGTATTCTGGACCTAGTGGTTTTGACTTGACATGGAGTTCATTAAGGAAAATGGGAACACTGGTTGAGATTTATTCAGAAAAAAATGGAAGAATAGGAACCACACATTTTTTACTTAAAGGATTAAAAATGGAAGAAGATTTTTACTTAAAGCAAAAAAGCCAGAGATTCTTTTGGTTCCAAAATGAATTGCCAAGCCAATTATGTAAGCGCCTCATTTGCTTTCTTTTTTATATTTGAATTTGGGAGTAGATGTTTGTTTAGCCTTGTAGGTTAGAATCTTTAAAGACTTGTAAAAGTAAATTGTTCATGTACTTTTTTTTTAAAAGGAGGGCATGAACTTGTAAAAGGAAATTGTTCATGTACTTATATATATATATATATATTTTTGGTGCAAAAAAAAGAAGATTATAAGGGGCATCCAATTAAAGGATAAGTAGGAAAAGAAAAGGAAAAACAAAGCTGAGTATCAGTTTTGCAAAGACAATTAATTACAACAACAATCATATACATGTGGAGTAAACCTATTATGACTTTTTCGCTTTAGAATTTTAGCATTAGATTAGAGTAATAAGCTTATTTGGCAATTCAACTCATTATTTTATATTTAGAAGGCTGCGACTTGAAGGGCATTTAGTCATTCAAGCACAATGACTTTTAATTTTACGTTATCACACAATTGGAGAAACCACTATGTTATTTTGCATTAGTTTGAATATTTTTTTGTAGGGCTGTATTTGTACTGATTATGGCCTTGTATCAGACCGACCAGTTGCGGGTAAGGAGAATGGGTGACAGGAACCTTAACCGCGTCAACTGTTTCCAGGTTGGTTACGACTTTTAAGACTACTTAAAAAATGGAACTGGTTTTGGACTGATTTTGGATAAGGTCTCGGTCCGAAACAGAAAACAGGGCCAGCCCATAGTTCACACTCATAGACTCTAATAAATTTTTAGATACTTGATGCAACAAAATTCATGCCACCAACCTAGTGATAGTTGAACTCAATGATATGTGGTTTGCTAGAGTATTAACTACACCATCAAGCGCACCCTAGTTACTTTCTATTTATGTGTTGTTTTCATCTTTACCATGATGCCAATTAATTAATAATTCAATACATCCATACAAGATTCTCCTACTACCCAAGTACATACCTTAAATTAAAAGAGATCTATTCATCATTTAAAGCAACTAGATAGATGCCTCATCAGTCTGATTTGGGAACTGAACTCCTTCACACTCCTTCCTTACCTGAAAAAGGATCTTCTTTGACTTGACACCTTATTAAGAAGCGTGATATTGTGTGGTTAAATTTATCAAAGGAGAAAAAGATAATTGAAAGAAACCATTCCTTCTTTTTGTAGTTTTGGATTTGACGGAACAGGAAAGGATATCTTTTTTGAGAGAAAGAAGGGGTAGAAGATAATATTATTAGTTTTATTACTATTCTAGTGATTTCTTAAGTGATGATTATAATTGTCTGACAATATCTTAAATGTGTTATGTAAAATGACAAGTTGACAACAGCTGCACTCCCTCCCCCACAGACACAAAAAAAATTGAGAAGCATGACTTTTTACGTACACAGAAAAAAAACCACTGAACAGAGAATAAAACATGTAACAAAAGTTGAAAGAAACATGGAAGTAACAAACAGAGAATAAAACCCACCTTGCACTTTTCAGGAGCTTCCAAATCTATGCACACAATATTTGCACCATTCCTTCTTGAATCTCTCCTTCGTCTGTTACTGCCAGCACGAATCAACCCTTCTGGGCAGAACAAAGGTGGGTCAGGACAAACAGATAACCTCTTTCGCTAGTCTGAGTAACAAAATGATAGTTTATACTTTATACCATTACAGAAGAGAAAAAATAACATAACACGAACCCCAACCTATGTACTAGAGAGAGAACTTGGGTAATGTTTTGATAGAAATGAAAGGGAAGGGATAAGATTATAAGAATAGTCATAGAGCAGAGAGAACAAAATTATTCGAAGTATTTAGTAATTAGTAATTTAGAAGGACTGAAAGAAATCAACTTATCAAAGTTCCCTTTAAACAAAACTTCAGCAGCTTTTGGTTGAGAGTTGAGACTCCTTGATGGCATGATCAAACGTTTCTCTTTTATTTTCCATTGCATTATAAATAATTCTTATTAACCCTTATTTTCCCATTTTCCTGTCAAATGAAGTCACAAAGGCCAGACCCTTAGTGGTATATGTCAAGATCCCAGAAAATGTCAATGGAAGGGGGGAAATACTAGTGAAAGTTGTTTTCTAATGTTTGTCTTTATTTTAAAAAATGCAAAGAGAAGTGCATTGAGATTTATTTTACTTTTATTCTACATATATTTAGATTTCTTAGTCTAAATGTAATAGAGAAAAATAAATAAAACGAGTGTGAACAAATATCTTAAATAATTGTTTTGAGTTTAAATGTGCTTTCATTTTCCTCAAATTTATCTTATTCCGATTGTGCTGCTCACTATCTTAGTCTAGTACTTTTTGTGATCCAAATGAATCCTATGGATAGAACTAACAGAAAAGCAGAAACACATAGAAAGCAAAAGTAATGTCCAACTCATAAGGGCTCAAAAGTAGTGGGATTAGATCAAATATGTGTGCCCAAGAAAATAACCACATAGCCAGCAAACAGCTCTAATTGAAATTCAGTAATATACACTAAAAGATCCACATCCGCAAATTCTATCATAACTCCAGAATCCTGATGTAATTTTACATCGAGTATTTTTGTAATCTTTTTAATAAAAATTACTATTTGCATCTGAAGAATGCTAATCTCTTCATGTTCAGATTGTTTATAAAGTTCCTGTTTTTGCTCATTTCAATTCCTTACCATACTCAGTCCAGTATAATAGAACTCCTTTTGCATCTAAAAATACTCATTTGGACGTCCCAATTAAAAAGATTAGAAGCAGAAAGACCTGGGGATCCTTGGTGTGCTTCAGTTTCATCATCTAGCACTTCTATTACAGGACAGTTCCTCCTTGCCTTTTCCTTAGCCTAAGGAGAAGATATACCATGTTCGAGCATCATAAGGGGAAAGGGAAAAAAGAAAACAGAGCTAAACGGTATAAACTTTTGAAATTAAGATCAAATACCTCCGCAAACCTTCTTGGGGAGCATATCAGAACATCATCATCATCATCATCTACAACATCGATATTTGCCATAACTTGCACTTGAGGCAGTCCAAGCTCTAAATTTGTATTCACGTCAGTAGCAGTGTCCATTACTGAACGATCTTCAACCCTAGGCGGTGTGTTAAGGTCTAAATCTAGAACATCTGAGCATTGTAAACATATGTATTAGCAACGACTACGAAAATACTTTAACTTTACAGCACCGTAAACACCGGGAGAAAGCGGTTCTTATAAGGAGGCGGATAGTCCCATGGATATTTACTTTCATCAGTTCAAAATTAACCCCATTCTTGCTTTGATTACATTCTTCTTCAAGTCTTAAGACTTCATGCCATAGACTGCAGGCGGAGCTTTTTGCATTCACAAAACAACTAGAATTCCACCCGCAATAAATTACATCAGAAAAGGTTTAAAAAATCACCAGGATTAACGTTTGTTTGCTGCAAAGTTGAATTGTAAAAGTGAATTAAGCCGGAAAAGTTGAAAAGTTTTAACAGGTACTTTTGAAAACCTATATAATGATTACGGAGGGGAAGATTTATGGAAACTCATGGGAGAGTCGTATAGGCTTCCTTAAAATTTGTGTATCTAGTCCAATGGTAGACATGTTACATGTATCATAAGAGACATACACACAAAATGTTAAATTTAAACATTTCTATCTCTTTTTTTACCGTCTTATGTGTTTTTGATAAGTTTTCTCAATAATATCAACTACAATGTCTATATTTATACTTTGTGTTTGACATCGTGAAGAAAAACCTACCAAAAACAATAAAAAAATTGTTCAAATAAGAAGAGATATATTATACGTATTTGTTATTATAATTAATTATCTCACATGCCACGTATGCTCATATGGAGTTACTTGTAGAAGCGCTTACGTGTAATTAACTTTGGGATTGGAGTTGGTCTTTTGAGTGTTTTTTTATCTCGTTAGAAAGGTAATTTTTTTTGTACACGACTTATACACGCACGCCGCCGTCTCTAAAAATATATTTTGTTTGTAAATAGTTTGTTCATAAACAAAAAATAATTAGTTTCTTTATACTCCATCTTTTAACTTTAATTATTTCATGTTTCATATTTAGGGGTGTTTGGAACTGATTCTGCTTCTGCTTCTTTTTTAAAGCAAAAGCATAATCAGAATCAGTTTTCAGAAGTTGGTCTCCCCCAACTTCTAAGAAAACTCATTCTAGAAGTAAATTAGAGCACCAGAATCACTTCTACACTTTCACCCAAACACTTCAACTTCTGTTTCTGCTCCTCCAAGGAGCAGAAGCAGTTTTAAGAATCAGATCCAAACACCCCTTAAATTTTCATCTTTTCACCATTGGTAAGTTTTTCTTATGAAAATATTTGTATATTCTTACTTTTAATACACTTGACTTTTTCACATTTTACAAATTGTTTCTCTTTCCTATTTTTATTACTTCGTAATATAATAATAACATGTAACATAATATATAGCTACAATAAGCATGGTTTAAAAGTGTAATCTCGCATGCAAAATGATTATATAAAGCCAACTTATAATTGACCTCCCTCGAGATTTCATGTATTATCATCTAGTCCCCTACACTGTTAAAAATATACATCTACCCCCTCGTTATCCTTTAATGATTGTTTAATAACTCTTAATTACTTTTAGCAAAAGTGTAAATTTAGTTTTATAAATTTACTCACTTGTAGAGATTAAATCTGATAATTAATAAATTTAATTGTATTAAGAATCTTTCCATCCGAAAGTACTTTTTTGCAAGAACACATATTTTCTGATGAAATAGCCCTCATCATTGACAAGTTTATTAGGTACATAACTACATCTACATGTGAGAAAAGTTATAGGACTAGTAGCAGACACAATCGAAAGGTACGAGCTTAAAACAGTAAATCTCTATTACTTTTAAAAGTTCAAAAATATATCTGAGATTGTAGAAATCTTGATGAAACTTTTCTAACAAGGAAAAGATGCCCAATAACGAGGAATGTTATTTTATACCTAAAACAAATGTTGGTGAAGGACTATTAGAAGACCATTTTTACCTATTGTAAATTTATATGGGAAATACTTACTTGTGTGGTTCATATTAGGGTAGGACAAGGCCTGGTCTTGAGAATGGCCGATTTTAAAATTAAGATATTAGGTCGAGACCGAGACCAGACCGGTGAAAAAGAGGTCTCAAGCCTCACTTTTTAGGACCCGGATTGGAGCCCATGTTTTGACCCCGTTCATTTTTTCAATAAAACCATCGAGAACATTTTAAAATGGGTTATAGTCCATTTAATAGTTAAAAATAGTTAGTTAAAATATTTAAATTATCGGGAGCAAACCTAGACCAATTGGTAGTAGGTCTGAGACCAGTTCGGTTCCTAGGCAAAATATGTGGAACCGTTTGAAAATATAAAATTTTCTAATGGTTCGGTTCTTATAAATTATTTTATAGAACCGTTAAGGAACCGATCCATTCTTAATGGTTCGGTTCTTGTCATTTAACGGTTCTTAGTCTTTAATTTTTTTTTTTTACAAATCACGGTTAAATTTGTGCCACAAAGACATTCAACGTTTGAAATTACAATACAAATATGTTGAATATCATTTCAAACCTCAAAAGTTGAGTTTAAAACATAAATATATAACAAACCGCAAATTTAAGTAAATAAAACAAAACAAGATAAAATGAAAAATAATTTTAAATAGTTAAATAACTAAACTAAAATAGTGAATGTAATATAAAATAGATAAGTAAATATACATTAAAATATATGTACTAGTAAGAAATATATATACTTTTAATTATTATATATAATGGGCTAATGGTTCCTTAACGGTTCCATGTACATATTTTTTAAGGAACCGAGAACCAAACCGTTAATAAAAAATAGGAACCGAACCATTAACAAATAATGAATAAATTTTGGAACCGAACCGGGTAATAATGGTTCAGTCCGGTTCGGTTCTCCGGTTCTTGGTTCCAAAGTCTCAACCCTAATTAGTAGATTAGAACCGAAGATAAGGTCATGGGCCGCCCTAATTATTTAGCACTAACCAGTTTGGGTGTGGAACCCAAACTAAGCTATAATCTCTTTACTAGTATTTTACATGTAAACATGTTCATATTTTGTCAAATATTAATTTACAAGTCATTAGTATACCTATTACGATCTCATCGCCAGTGATAACAAAGAGTGTCTGGTCGTCTAGAGTGCAAATTGGGAATTTTCTCGCATTCAATTTTTAATGATAAAATCGAGTAGTAAACTTCACTTTTGAGTCGGTTAGTTCATTTAAGTTGATTTGTTTCAATTTTTGACAAATTTAGCATATATTGATCATTTTTCAATTGAGTAAATTTACTCATTTCACAAATTCAAATGCATAAAACGAACTACCTAGAGTGAGGCCAGTTTTGGTCATTTTTTATTATGTTCGACGTCCGATAAAAAAAGCCTTTAGTATGGATAAACTTATTAATTACCCGACCAGATTTGTGATTGAGTAAAATTACAATATTAAAAGCGGACATAACCAAAGATTATGAAATTATATCTATAATTATCTCTAAATATATATTAAAAGTTATTTAATCATCATTAAAGCATAGGGAGGGGTAAGAGTATATTTATGATAGTATAGGGGTGTGATTGATAATGCATCAAACCTCAAGGAAAGTCAATGATAATTTCTCTCATATAAATACATTTTAGTGACTCTGATTATATTGAATTTTATACTGACCATTGAATTATTATTAAGTTTGGTAACATTTTTGTATGTAGCTTTTAGTACAAAAACTAGTCCCTTGTCTTTAATATGAATTCACTCCTTTGGTCAGTAGTACACCAAACTAAAATAATTAGCCAACTACACGTCAACATGTCTATAGCATGGGCGGACTCACAAGTTTTCTCAAGGGGGCGGCGGGGTGCGCATGGATTAATGGGTTGGGTTAGGTTTAACACTAGTCAATTCTGGTCAATTTCTATTTCTAAGAGATGCAAATCTAATATCTATAAATTATAGATCTAATTTCCAAACCAATAAGACAATTCTAAGTAATAATTTTCAACTTTTCGAAAGAAGATCATAATTTGGATTAGAATTGAATCATCCTAAAAATCATTACTTTTGAACTTTGCTATTCCAAAATACTTCTCATCAAACTACAATATTTTTTTATTTTTGATTTGACTTCCAGTTATTTTTCATACTACAAACTGTCAGAGTTTTGGTTCAGTACAATTCATTTTTACTATTCCTTTCTTCAACACAACTCATTTCATTTACTAACCTATTTTTACAAATCCAAATTTTATTATATTGCATTGTAAAAAATTAAGGGGATTTGTCACAAATTGGCACAATTTTTTTTATCTCTACTATATTTTTGTAGTAAAATCACTCTTGCATTTATTTTTTGTCTGGTTTGAAAAGGAACTGGTAATTAGAGACAAATCCTTGACAAAACCACTCTCATAACCATTTTATCGTGTGATATTTGAAAGTTAACACGAAGTTGTGAAAATAGTTGTATCAATTCTTGAAAAATTGGTGTTGGATCCATTGTTTCTTTTACGGGCGTAGTGTTTAATTTTTCCATTCAATATTATTTTTGTTAAAGATCTAAGTACTTGTCGAATATTTCGAGCATGAACCTGTTAACAAGCATGTACTAAAATTCTATATTCGAGCATATTTATTGAGTTTATCAAGTGCTGAAATAAAACATCAAACATCTATTGAGTCAAACCCAAGTTTCATTTATATAGCTCATTGAGCTTCAAGCTCGAACTTGAGCTCCAAATGTTCGCTCTCGACATCGGTCGTTAATAGCCTTAATCGAAATCAACATATGTTGTTTTAGATTGTGTTATGTAGATAATACTTGAAACCAAAACGATCTTTTCAATTGCCAAAATGATTCTTTTTAGCAGCTTCTACGACATTTAAACACTCGTCGAACAACTAGTATTGTTCACCCATGCTAAAACAAGGGGTATAATTATGTGGCCTTAGTACTAACGCAGATTTTTGGGACCAAAGCAGGAACGCTAGTCACCCATGCCCCTGGGTCCTCCACTGGATGTATGTATACCCTAGGGGTGAGCATGGGATGGGATGACGAGATCGTTCTCTTAAAGAATATGACTTGTCCCAAACTACGGTTCATTTATAAATGAAGGGTTCTATAGAGAGAGATGCAAGTATGCATCTTAGATAGGCAGATAGCTATCCATTTATTTTGAGCGGATGATTATAGGCTTATAGCCTCTTACAAAGAGTGGTGGATCCAAGCATCGGAGCTCAGTGTATGCACATATATAGTACGTAGCGGTATAAAAAAAAATTATGACACTACACTACACTGAAAACATGACCCACCTTCATAATTATTACAACACGTTTTTTCATCCTTCGTCTCTTAAAACTTTACCATATTTGAATTTTGGTTTATGAATTTAAACTTTGACCTTCTATACATATTTATTAGAAATTATTTATAATACACAAATGATATGAGCTTGTTCTTTGTTAAAAATATTTTTATAAATGTATAA